CACAAGCAGACCCAACGCCGCACACACTCATCACGACCACAAGCAGACCCAACGCCGCACACACCCACTCATCACGACCACAAGCAGACCCAACGCCGCACACACCCACTCATCACGACCACAAACAGACCCAACGCCGCACACACCCACCGCGGACCGGCTTCGCACACACTCATCACGAGCACCACAAGCAGACCCAACGCCGTACACACTCATCACGACCACAAGCAGACCCAACGCCACACACACCCACCGCGGACGGGCTTCGCACACACTCATCACGACCACAAGCAGACCCAACGCCGCACACACCCACCGTGGACTGGCTTCGCACACACTCATCACGAGCACCACAAGCAGACCCAATGCCGTACACACTCATCACGACCACAAGCAGACCCAACGCCGCACACACCCACCGCGGACGGGCTTCGCACACACTCATCACGACCACAAGCAGACCCAACGCCGTACACACTCATCACGACCACAAGCAGACCCAACCCCGCACACACCCACCGCGGACCGGCTTCGCACACACTCATCACGACCACAAGCAGACCCAACACTGCACACACCCACCGCGGACCAACTTCACAAGCAGACATTCAGTGAAAACTCACAAAGAGGGAAACAAAAAACTCAATGATGACTGACAGTAAAACCCCTTGAAACTAGGGCACGCTGGCTCACACCTGTAATCCCAGTACTCTGGGAGGCCGAGGAAGACAAATCATTTGAGGCCAGTTCAAGACCAGCCTGGCCAACATGGCAAATCCCCATCTCTACTAAAAATACAAAATTAGCCAGGCATGGTGGCGAATGACTGTAATCCCAGCTACTTGGGAGGTGAGGCAAAAGAATTGCCTGAGGCAGGGCACGGTGCCTCACACCTGTAATCCCAGCACTTTGGGAGGCCAAGGCAGGTGGATCACGAAGTCAGGAGACTGAGATCATCCTGGCCAACATGGTGAAATCCCATCTCTACTAAAACATTAGCTGGGCATGGTGGTGGGGTGCCTGTAGTCCCAGCTACTCAAGAGGCTGAGAGGTGGACCCAGGAGGTGGAGGTTGCAGTGAGCCCAGATTGCGCCACCACACTTCAGCCTGGCAACAGAGCGAGACTCCATCTCAAAAAAAGGATCACTTGAACCCGGGACGCGGAGGCTGCAGTGAGCCAAGATCGTGCCATTGCACTCTAGCCTGGGCAACAAGAGAGAAACTCCATCTCAAAACAACCAACCAACCAAAAACACCCCTAAAATGTGGTTTTACACAAATGTGTGTTATATAAGTTTATTTAGTAGGAAACGAATAACGATCTTGAGTATAAATTCATATAAAGATGCAGCAGACTTGGTGCTGACACCTGTAATCCCAGCACTTTAAGAGGCCGAGGCGAATGGATTATGAGGTCAAGAGATTGAGGACCATCCTGGTCAAGATGGTGAAACCCCGCCTCTACTAAAAATTCAAAAATTAACTGGCTGCGGTGGAACGCGCCTGTAGTCCCAGCTACTCAGGAAGCTGAGGTGAGGGATCACCTAAGCCTGGGGAGGTGGAGGCTGCAGTGAACCAGGGTCACGCCATTGCACTTCAGCCTGGGCCACAGAGTGATACCCTGTCTCAAAAAACAAAACAAAAAGATTCAGCAAACAGCTGAACAATTTCTGCAATTCAGGTTTTTATACATTAAAATGTTAAGTGTGTGGGCCGGGCGCGGTGGCTCAAGCCTGTAATCCCAGCACTTTGGGAGGCCGAGGCGGGTGGATCACGAGGTCAAGAGATCAAGACCATCCTGGTCAACACGGTGAAACCCCGTCTCTACTAAAAATACAAAAAATTAGCTAGGCATGGTGGCGCGTGCCTGTAATCCCAGCTACTCGGGAGGCTGAGGCAGGAGAATTGCCTGAACCCAGGAGGCGGAGGTTGCAGTGAGCCGAGGTCGCGCCATTGCACTCCAGCCTGGGTAACAAGAGCAAAACTCCGTCTCAAAAAAAAAACAAAACAAAACAAAACAAAATGTTAAGTGTGCAGTCTGTGAGTGGACGAAGTGACGGACTTTAGTCCTGGGCTGGGCATCACGCACGTGCACACGGAACAACACATCACCCTCCACCCTGTAAACATGGACAGTTACTAGGGAGCAACTAAACATACATATTCATAAATACCTGGTCCAGGATTTTGGATGAAAAACCCCAGGACACCAAAAGCCACGACATGTACCAAGGAGGCCGCTCCTAGGGCCCAGTGAGGGTGGGTCAGAGGAGGTGGACGGGGCCTGTCAGACATGTGTCACTCCTCAGAGCCAGCTGGGCAGGCCTGCCTGAAACCTGCAGCTGCTCCACTCCAGGGGGCTTCTGCCAGAGGACCTTGCACCAGCTGGGCTCACGCCTGGCTCCCTGACCAGCTGATGGCTGCAGGAAGGTTCCTGGGGGCACACCCCTCAGTGTGCCCAGCTCAACATGCCTTAGGAACCAGCTGGCCTCAACCCCACTTCAGTCTGTGCTACAGGAATGTTCGTTTCCATCAGCAAATCGCTGAGTAAACACTGAAACGAAGTGAGGCGGATGAGCCCTGCTCGGAAACCACACGCAGGCGCCGCGGCTGGCGGGGGGGGGGGCACTGCTGCCCAGTTCTCACCTTCACCCTCGTCCCCTTTCTTTTCTTCACTCGATGCTGGCGTTTCTTAGACCTCGTCGCTGAGCCTTTACCTTTTGCAGACGGCCTGGACGGGGTTTTCCTTCTTCCCGGCACTTTCCTCCGTCTTCCTAGAGAGAAGTTGTTGAAGCCTGTGCCTCTCTGTGCTGGGACCTCCCTCCCACCCCATTCCTGTGAGTCTAGCCCAGAGGACAAAGCCCAAGGAGCCAGTACAGAGGGACCACACGCACTGGCTTCGATTTGTTTTTGAGACAGGATCTTGCTCTGTCACCCAGGCTGGAGAGCAGGGAGGTGATCTCAGCTCACAGCAGCCTCAAACTCCTGGGCTCACCTGTTCTCCCACCTCAACCTCCCCAGCAGCTGGGACCACAGGCATGCAACACCGTGCCCGGCTAATTTTTGTATAGCTAGAAGGCTTAGCCATGTTGCCAAGCTGGTCTCTGGGCTCAAGCAATCCACCCGCCCCAGTCTCCCAAAGTGCTGGGATTACAGGCTACTCAGGGGGCTAAGGCATGAGAATTGCTTGGGCCTCAAAGGCAGAGGTTACAATGAGCTGAGAACATGCCACTACACTCCCGCTTGGGCAACAGTGAGACCCTGTCTCAAAAAAATAAATAAATAAAAAGAACGTGTCCCTATGGGGGAGACAAAGGAAATGAGCAGCATCTAAGTAAGAACAGAGCCTGACTTCCCTGAATGTACCACTAAATATCTGACTAATTATGGAACAAGGTCGGGCGCCATGGCTTACGCCTGTAATCCCAGCACTTTGGGAGGCCGAGGCGGGCAGACCCCTTGAGGTCAGGAGTTCGAGACCAGTCTGGCCAACATGGTGAAACCCCGTCTCTACTGAAAATACAAAAATTAGTCAGGCGTGGTGGCAGGCACCTGTAATCCCAGCTACTCGGGAGGCTGAGGCTGGAGAATCACTTGAACCCGGGAGATGGAGGTTGCAGTGAGCCAAAATTGCATCATTGCCCTCCAGCTCCAGAATGAGA